AGCCTGCAGGGGAGGGCAGTTGGGGTGACCAAGCCAACAGAGGAAGGAAGTTGGGGGCATCAGGGCCTGCAGAGAAGGACAATTGGGGGGACCCAAGCCTGCAGGGGAGAGCAGTTGGAGTGGGACCAGACCTGCAGGGGAGGGCAGTTAGGGGTGACCAGGCCTATAGAAAAGGGCAGTTGGGGGAGACCAGGCCTGCAGGGGAGGGCAATCAGGCTGGCAGGGGACCAGTTAGGCATCAATCAGGCTGGCAGGGGAGTGGTTAGGGGATGATCAGGCTGGCAGGCAGAAACAGTTAGGGCAATCAGGAAGGCAGGCAGGTGAGCAGTTGCGAGCCAGCAGTCCTGGATTGTGAGAGGGAAGTTGGACATCCCTCAAGGGGTCCCAAATTAGAGGGGATGCAGGCGGGGCTGAGGGACACAGACCCCATGCACAAATTTCGTGCACCGGGCCTCTAGTGTGTGTGTGTGTGTGTGTGTGTGTGTGTGTATAAAGATATATATATTGATTTCAGAGAGTAAGAGAGAAGGAGAGAGAGATAGAAACATCAATGATAAGAGAGAATCATTGATCTGCTGCCTCCTGCACACCTCCGCACTGGGGATCAAGCTGCATGTGCCCTTGGTCAAAATCGAACCTGGGACCCTTCAGTCCACAGGCTGACTCTCTATCCACTGAGCCAAGCTGGCTAAGGCAAACAAAATACTCTTGACTTCTTTAGTTTACAAGATATAGAGGGATATTATTATTATTATTATTATTATTATTATTATTATTATTATTTTGGTGTGAGTAAACCATTTCCAGTCTCTAAAGCAATAAGATACAAACTATGATCATAGGCACAGACCTATGTTAAAAAGAAGGACAAGCTAGGGAAGTGATGATGGAAAACACGAAAGCTACTCCCAGGTAATCCAACTCCAAACCCTGGTATATAAATGTAACATCAACAGTATCTACCATACTAGAGTGAAAGAGGAAGAAGGAAAAACAAGAAAAAGCTGCCAACTCCTGACTCAGCTTTAAAGATACCAAAATAAGCAAGGCTTAAGATATAAAGACAAATCTCCTCCAGTCTAGAAGGCCAGAATCTGACTTAGACTTGGCTGGCATACGTCCAACTGACTGCAGCAGCAGCAGCAGCAGCAGCAGCAGCAGCAGCTGCTGCTGCTTGATTCACAAATAGGTGATAGACATTTCCTACCACATCTTCTACCAAATAAATCATATTAAGAAGATAATGGATCATTGCAGTGTTTATATTAAATGGCAAATTCTGAAAAAGAGAACACCATATACCATTCTTGAAACATTTTATTTCACTTCTCTATTTACAGTTAAGGAATTAATGCATATATCACTGAGTAAATAATTCTGCAAGATTAAATGATGATGTGTTTATGTTCTATTGTTCTAGCTGCTCATTGGCCACCAGGTCAGCCAATCTGATCCAAGACTCCATGGCAACAGGCTCTATCACTAAGAGCTATAAGATGAGATTCTCCTTACTTAAAAATTTTTTTTTAAATAAAGCATTTTCCACAGAAACTTTTGCAATACTGTCAAATAGTCTCTATAGAAAAATAAGAAATACTGCCATTCTGATAGACTAAAAATGAATAGCGGGGGGGAAAAGTCAATAGCAATGACAATGAATCTATGCAAACAACAAGGTATCTCTGAAACTGGAGATTTTGCCTTTATAAATTAGTAGAGAATTCAGAAATCCCTGAACTTTGAAAAACCAACACCAGCACAAACTGAGGAATTAATATAAGGGGAGGGCTACCTAGCTAAAATCACAGTATTGCAGCTTCCCATGCTATAATACACAGAGAGCTAAGTTTTAATTTAAGACTGTTAAACTTAGTAATTTTTCCTAACTTTAAAAAATATATATATATTTTTTATTGATTTCAGAGAGGAAAGGAGAGGGAGAGAGAGATAGAAACATCAATGATGAGAGAGAATCATTGATTGGCTGCCTACTGCAAGGCCCCTCCTGGGGATTGAGCTTACAACCCAGGCATGTGCCCTTGACCAGAATAGAATCTGGGACCCTTCAGTCCATGGATCAATGCTCTCTCCACTGAGCCAAACCAGCTAGAGCTCCCTAACTTTGTTTTAAGTATTACAGATATCAGGCTCTTATGCTCTATATTCTCAAATCACAATCAGCTCATACAGTCCTGGGAATTCTGTCTATCCTCTTCTCTATATTCTCCTCCCAACCCCGTCCCACTATTATTAGAGAAACCATGCCCCAATGAGGAAATAATACATTTGCTCTTCACATACCATATGCCCCCATTCGTTCTTCTTCAGCTACAGATCTCTTTGAAGAAAAGAGGAAACAGATAATTACAAACTAGATGAGGAGACTACATTAAAACAAAACAAAACACCTGACTATTCTCCCCAATGGTGCTCATTAACATTCTAAAATCCACCTGACTTATAAAGTATTCCCTTTTCCTAGCATGCTTTTCACAATAATTGATGTAATATCTCTGGATGCAACAAGCAACTTTGATCCCTACCTTCTACTATATGGTGATAAGTGAATGCTGAGAAGCAGAATCTGATGTAAGGTTTAAAATTAGCTTGGAAACTATATATTTTCATCTGGTTTATTCTATTGTGTATTGTTTTAATTATTTTTAGGTATACAGTTCAGTGACACTAAGTACATTCACATTATTGTGCATTATAGAAAACTAGAGGTCTGGTGCACAAAATTTGCGCATGGGGGGAGGGGGCGAGATGTCCCCTCAGCCCAGCCCGCACTCTCTCCAATCCAGGACCCCTAGGGAGACATCCTTCTCACAATCCTGGACCGCTGGCTCCTAACTGCTCACCTGTCTGCCTGCCTGATCACCCCTAATCACCTCTGCCTGCTGGCCTGATTGCCCCTCCTGCTGACCTGGTCACCCCTAACTGCCTCCCTGCTGGCCTGATCACCCTAATTGTCTCTGCCTGCCACCTGATCGCTCCCAACTGCCCCCCCTTCCCTGGTGGCCTGGTTGCTCCCACTGCTCCCCCCTGCCATTCTGGTGGCCCCACGCAGCCTGCTGTTCAGTCGTTGGTCGCCCCTCAATCCCCCCTCCCCCTCCGCCTGCTGGCCTGGTTGCCCCACTCAGCCCGCTGCTCAGTCATTTGGTTGTCCCTCACCAACCTCCCAGCCAGCCTGGTTGCCCCACACTCTCTGAAATCAATAAAAATATATTTTAAAGTTTTTAAAATGTGATATTTCATATAAATCTTATACTTTCACAAACATATGGAGGAAGAACACCACATCAATTCACACACTCAGAAGATACAAAGTTTCAGAAGTATACAATAAATATAAGCATCCTAAGATTTTAAAGAAGATCAGAATCAGTGGGGGAAAATAAAACAAAAAATTAAATAAGTCAAAAGCTCAAAGAAAAAGCTGTTAATCTGAGGGAACATGTTTCCAATTTAGCCTATAAGCATCAAATTAGAAAAGATACTTCCTAAAAGGATCAAGTGTCAAAGTTTAAATATTTAGATTATATTTATATTCATTTTTCTAAAATCCTACATGGCTCAATATCCTACATGGCTTGAAAATCTCTCCTAGCTTCCTCAAAAATTACAGGTGATCTGAAGACAAATAGTATTACCCTGCTTAATTTCTAAATATCAATAATAATGTCTAATGTTAAATAAGCAATTTAGATTACCAGAAACTGGTATGTTAAAGCCTTCCCATGTATTAATTCTTTTAATCTTCAAAAAAAAAAAACCCTAGAAGATGGATGCTATTATCTTCATTTCATATTTTACATATGAAGAAACGGAGGGGTTAAGTAATGTGTCCAACGTCATAGAACCAGCAATTGGCCTACTTGGGAATTGAACTCATGCGGCCTAAGTCAGAGTCCAAACACTTAGCCACTATACTTTTCAAAGAAAGAAGCTTCTAACAGACTATATAGCAGTGTGAGTGGGTAGGACAGGAGAGAACATCAGAGAGAAGTACATATAGTAACTTTTAGGCACAGAAATAGTCATTATTAATTTCACCAGAAAGGTCTTCCAACATAAGTCACATTTTTAATTATCCCAATCAGGATGATGAGAAATACTTTTGCAAAAGCAGTTTTTCTTCTAAAAAAAAAAAAAAAAAAAAAAAAAAAAAAAAAGAAGAAGAAGAAGGAAGGATAAAAAGAAACTAAAATCTTTTCCCTGACCTTTTCAAAACCTTGATGGTTAGAAAACTAAGATTAAAAAAGAAGGTATTTTCATTTGAAATAAAGAGACTTAATAATATAATTGCTAATGACTGAAACATTTGATAAAGACTTTAGGTCTATTCCTCCCACTCCGAAATGAAAGGAAAACCAAGTTAACAAAACCCTCATCTTTTAATTTCACAGCAGTTTTCTTCCCCCTCAAAGGCTGGCTATTCCATTCTTCGCTGCAGACAGGGAACTGCTGCCAGTGACGTCAGAGCAGTCTCCCAGCAACGATTAACGAGGGTTGTCCACCACAGGGGTTTCCTGAAAAGCTAGCAAGAAATTATCCACATATTTGCTGCAATATTGAGATGCAAGATGCAGTGGAATTCTCTTAACCCTTATAGCTCCAGTCTCTAGCAAGTTTCTAAAGAGGTTATTCTGGAATGCTCTTGGTTTACCTTAGGGTTATCACCATCCCCACTCCCTTCTCTCCAAATAAATGAGAATTTTATTAGTTTGAAATATTTATGGCTATAATACATATTCATATAATTGAATGACCATACAAATAAGACTGCACAAAGTAAGCTGAAAAGCAGACATTTCTCTTTTCACTTCACATATATTACTTAGAATAATGAAAACATAGAACAGAAAAGAGTATCAGGATAGAAAATAAAACAGTAAATTCTTAAAAGTACTGCTCCACATATGCTATCCAAACACATCCACAGGAAGGAAACCTTAAATTTTCCTAGGCTCTAAGTCTTCTGAATTTTTCACACTGACCTTTGCAGGTAGCCCTCCAGAGATCAGTGGTATTAAAATGGAGTTGCATAAAAAGGAGCAGGAAGCCCAACCACTTAATCTAAAAAAAGAGAGGTTAGGTTCATACCTAAGAGTATATCTAACAATTTCTTCCTAAAGCTTTGCTTTAGCTCTAGACATTCAAAATGAGAGTTTTACTTTAACAACAGTGGCAAGAAATTTTATATAACCACCTATTTTTGAGGTCTGCTTGAAGAGTGTACAAACTGCATGCTCAGGATCAGTGCAAATAAGGTAGAAAAATTTCAAATTCCAAAACTTAACCTAGAATTATTCATAGATGATGAGTTCTAGAAACCTGCTTATGAGCCCTTTTCAAAATTTCATATTTAGAAAAAAACATTCGGTAAAATTCATTAGCAGTAGGATACATAGGGTTAATTAAGGCATGCTGCTTCAGCAATCCTGACTTTGACCCCAGCCTATTATTCTAAAGGAAACAAACAAAATAGCATCCTTATCATTAACATCTCATTTTGCTCTAAGCTCTATTCAATCCACCCAGTTATCGTCAAGGCATAGAACGCACCAATTCTGATGGATTTTTCTTCTTCCTTCTCTGTCCCCTCCCGCTCAGGAGAAAAAGACTGCAAACAAATTCACTACGTCACTGGAGGTAGAGGGAATCCCATCTCTGCACTCTTTAGAAACCAAGCCAGCAAACAAAAACAAGCCAATTATGAGAGACAAATAAGTAATCCCAAATAAGGAGCAGTAAATCCCCAAGTAAATTCTTACGATAACCTCAACAAGTCAAAGGCATGTTTTAGTAAAAACACTGAAAAAATTCCTCCTAAGATGTTCATAATAAAAAATAAAAATATAAAACCTTCCTAGAAACAGTAAAGGCAACACAGTTCTCTTATCACATTCAAAGACTAGGAGACAGTTACATAAAGACAGGACAGAGAGACATATTCACCAGCTGGGTGTGGATAGCTGTGGAATGACACAGTGAAGGATATTTATAGGGGATTCCCTGCTTTCTGCAATGTGCGTCAACAGCATCACCACAGAGAACAGAAATCACCACTATTTTCATAAGCAAAATCTGAATGAAACATTGCTTGAAATAGCCACAGAAGAGGTAAAATCTGAATATAAGAAAATTTCCAGCAAGCCTAATTTTAAAATAATTTAAATAAAAAGACAAACACGAAAATGCCCAAAACCCCCTATAAAACGTAACTCATGAACAATCCTCTCATTTCCCTAGTGTGTGTTATATAGTTAAATTGGCCAAGATACAAAATATATATTTCTAGCTTCTCCCCCATCCAGTCTGTGGAGTTCAAGGGCTTTTATATAAAGAAATAAAAATTATCCAAAACTCACCCCAGATGGATCTGCACTTAAACCAACAGCGAGCTCACATTATTAATGGAGACCTCACTGTAAGAATCAGTTCTGCCGGAATTTTGCTGGAAGAAATTCCTTCTGGGAAACCTGTGCCTCTTACCCCTCCCACAGTCCCCGCTTGCACCCTTCACCCTTGAATGAAATGCTGCGTCTCCAGCAAGCTAATTGCTCTGACAAGCAGCTCTGAAGCAGTCCATGGCCCAGCTGTTCAGAGGGATGTCACCTAGAGCTCTGCCAACAGTCCACCCGTGTGCGCGCGCGCACAAAGACACACACACACACACACACACACACACACACACACATGCTGTAAGAGCACCCCCTTCCACCTCCTCTTCTCGCTCTCATTCAAGCAGTTCAGTGACATGCCTGCCTCCACACTGCTCTGAAGATGGCTTTTTAAAGACACAGCAGCAGCTCTTTTCTGCTGCACATATTGAGGTGCCAAAATAGTCTTATTACAGAAGAACAATGAGCTGGAGATATGTATTGAATTAAAAGTTCATTCTTAAAATTATGTTGTTTTTTCTCATCTGCAAAATAATTGAGGCCAGAGAAATGGTCTTTGCCTAAAAGCTACGGAGCTGGACTTTAGAAACTAAGACCAAACCTAGTTAAAGAGAATTTTTTTCCCCAGAAAGCTGTATTTGGTAAAAATCATTCTTCATTTTGGGAAAGAAGGTAGGCAACATCGGATACTAGTTCTTTTCCTGTATCTGTCCCCAAAAAGAGGGGGAGAAGGTTTAATGGAGAATGAGGAAACTGTGAAGGCATCTGATAGAACTGATACAGAAGGATGAGAACACAGTATAAGGATGGGGATGAGGATAAATAGATTAAGGTAAAGTAAGTGGTACAAAGGACACCAAGAAAGAATAGTAATAGTTCTTGAAAGTATATATGGCTCTGGGACAGAAGACTTAGAAATGACGTTAGGCCTTAATTTATAAGAACCTAAGGAAAAGTAATAATGATCTATTGCTGCAGCAAGTAATGGAAATTATAGGTGGTGCAAGGTCCGCAACTGCACAAAATAACATATGGGTAAAGTCTAGTCATCTTGAGAAAAACAACAAAACCTGTCACAAAGACAACTAGTCATTCATTCAACCACATATTTATTGTGTGCTTGTTTCGTACTATGGGCCAGACACTATGATATGCCCTAGGAATGAGATAGATTCATTAAGGGTCAATCAGAAGAAGAAAAAAGAGGATTCTGTTTTTTCTCAGAATGAGATGAGAGCCACTAGAGGGTTAGAAGGTAGATCCAGAAGGGCCAAACAGACCACTGAACAGAATCTGGCTTTTATACTAGCAAGATGAGATACCATTGGGGGTTTTAAAACAAAGAAATGGCATGTTTTTTATGTATATTTCTCATATCCCTTCAAATTTTTGAGTAATTACTAATATAACAGAATTTGCAAAAAGAGTATAATAGTCATCTAGATTCACATACAGATCTAGGATATACTAGTATGTATGCAAAAATTTACACATATTTTTTCAGAACTTTCTGAAATGTTCTCATAATGACCTTTCATACCTAAAATAATTCCAAGTGTATCTCTCTCTCTTTTAAAAAAATATATATATATTTTATTGATTTTTTTACAGAGAAGAAGAGAGAGGGATAAAGTTAGAAACATCAATGAGAGAGAATCATCGATCAGCTGCCTCTTGCACACCCTCTACTGGGGATGTGCCCGCAACCAAGGTACATGACCGAATCAAACCTGGGACTTTTCAGTCCGCAGGCCGATGCTCTATCCACTGAGCCAAACCGGTTTCGGCCCAAGTGTATCTCTTAACAAAATGGTTACTCTGAACTAAGAGAATAACCACTGCCCACTTCCCAGATGAGTTAATGAATAATATACATGCAAAGCAGATATAAATATCTCTGCAAAAACTCAGAAAACTGAAATGGCTTTAGGATTACCACTGACTGAAGGTTGGATAGAAATTTCAAGCTGAACCCAACTAGGTCAAATGTCTGCTAAAATAAAAATCAACATTCATTACAGCATTTAAACAAAACCCAGACCCTTGTAACTCAATATTCAAATTTTCCAGGACATAATCCAAAATTACTTGGCATACAAAGAACCAAGAAAATCTCAATTTGCATAGGAAAAGAGATTAACAGATACAATACTGAGATGATAAAGATATAGAAACTATCTTACAGCTATTATGGTAGCTATAATAAAAATGTTCCAAAAATTAGGAAAAACACTCCTGAAACTATGGAAAGACAGAATGCCTCAGAAAAGAAATTGAGAATATAAAAAAGAAACAATGGTAATTTTAGAACTAAAAAATATAACAATCACCCTAACTGGTGTTGTTCAGTGGTTAGAGTGTTGGCTCCCAGACTGAAGGGTCTCAGGTTCAATTGCTGGTTAAGGGCACCTACCTGAGTTGCAGGTTTGAACTCAGGGTATGCAGGAGACAACCAATTGATGTCTCTTTCACATTAAAGTTTCTCTCCCTTCTTCCCCTCATCTCCTCCCTCTCCCCTCCACTCACCTTCCTCCCTTTCCCTTCCACTCCCCTTTCTCCCTCTCTCCTTCCCTTCCCCTCTTTCTAAAAATCAATGGGAAAAAATATATATCCTCAGGTGAAGATTATATATATATATATATATATATATATATATATATATATATATTATATAAAACAAAATATAAACATTCATTTGGTGTGTTCAATAGCAGAACAGAAATGACAGAAGAACTAGTGATTTTTAAGACTAGTGATTTTCATATCAGATATGAAAAAAAAGAGAAAAATGTTTGAGGTGTGGGATGGGAAACAGATCATCAGGCCCTAAAAAGACAATACCAAAAACTAATATTTGGGCTATCAGTATCCTAAGAGGGGAGAGAGTGTGTAAAACATTTGAAGAAATCATGGCTGAAAACGTCACAAATTTCACAAAAGACATAAACCTATGGAGTCAAGAAGCTCAATAATACCCAAACAGAATAAACACAACAAAATCCACTCCTGACTTCATCATGATCTAACAGCTAAAAGGTAAAGACAAAGGAAAATTGTGAAAACAAACAAAAATGATGCACTGATTAATAAGGGAACACTTACCAGAAACTATGAAGAGCAAAAGAAAGTAGAACATATTTAAAGTGCTGAAAGGAAAAACAATAGAGAATTCTATAGCCAGAGAAAATTATCTTTAGGAATCAAGATGACATAGAGATTTTATCAGATGATAGAAAGCTAAAATAATTCATTGTCATACACCGTCTATAAAAGAATGGCTAAAGAAAGTTCTCAAAAAGATGGGAAAGCCATAACCAGTTGACTCAGTGCATAGAGAATTGGCCTGTGGACTCAAGGGTCCCAGGTTCAATTCCAGTCAAGGGTGTGTACTTTGGTTGCAGGCACATATCCAATAGGAGGGACTGTACAGGAGGCAGGTGATCGATGTTTCTCTCTCATTGATGTTTCTTTTTATTATTATTATTTTTATTAAATTATTATCTGTGTACATATACCATTGCTCCCCCTCCAATACATGTCCTCCCTCCCCAGAGTTTTGTGTCCATTGTCTCAATGATGTTTCTAACTCTCTATCCCTTCCCTTCCTCTCTGTAAAAATCAATAAAATATATGTGTGTGTGT